CACACCACACACTAAGAAGATGCAAACGAAAACATGTTCTCACGATAATTGCGAAAGCAAGTAAATAAACAATACTGCAGAAATATTGGTTTATTAATACCGAATAGCATTTTAAAACATTAGAGATGGCCCAATGAGTTAAACACCTGCCTTCGAAGCGGGGGACAAGGGCTCGATTCCTTAGTCCTTTTAATTTTTTTTTCCGATTTCGTGACTTTGAACATGTCAGTATCATAAACATTTCTAACAAAAGTGATGTAAGAAAACCATTATGATAACGAAAGCGAATTCACGATTCATGATGTGCACCTTCCAACATATGAGGAGTGTAAGAGCCCAAATGTTGGGTCCTACAAGGGTTGGTAGATGGCGAGCTTAGGGTTTAAGGTAGACAACCAAGATGTCTTGGCTCTTTTACTGAAGAAGATGTTGGAGTGCGGCAGCTCCTCGGAGCGAGGTGTTGCTCCTTGGCTCCCCGCAGGGAGTCTGCCTGATCTCCTATACAATTGTCTAAAGATCGCATCAAGTCACGTGGTTAGCATGTGACGAACGGTGATGAACAAGCAAGCGTTACATCAGTACATAGCTCTTGTGAAGAGACAGACAGCACAGCATTGGAATGTCTGGTGTGCCAAGAAGAGAGGAATGAACAGTGTAAGCAATGTCAGGCGTATATGCATATGTATATGTATGTGTGAAGATACATATGTGACAAACATGTAAGATTATATATATATATATATATATATATATATATATATACATATATATATATTATAGTAATTAGATATAGATATAGCTGGGTTACATATCTCCCTGGTTTTAAAATGATGGTCCCATCATAATCAAACATCATCTAAATTCATATAGCTAAAACATTAGAGAAATACATAAGAAACAATGGCACAATCGTGTAAAAACCGTAAGCAACGTAAAAAAAAAAAAAAAAAAAAAAAAAAAAACAGGACGCCGGTATTGTGGTAGTGTATCAGTATCAAGTAGATTTGCTTGTTATTTTCTAACTGATGCGAGAGTGCATGTTCTCGGGCTTCGGAACTGCAGTGAGCGGGCGGCGCTGAAGAATCCCATCTTCAGGCGGCGTCACAGAATGCGCGGGCGGCGCTGATGGGAGTGCGTCCTCAGGCGGCGGTAAGGTACGAGCGGGGGGGGGAGGGGCGCTTAAATACATACGAGCAAACCTAGTAAGACAACTCATAAGTTGCAAATGAATGCATATAACTGATAAGTGAACACAGAATACAAAAAATCAAGTCATTGCACAATTTAATAACTCGATATCAAGAATTAAACACAGAGTTAGAAATATTTATGGATAAGCTAGGTATTGATCACCGACTTTTTTCTCTCTTTTTTTAATTCACATGAATTTTGGGTCTGGTGCGAAGCGAGGAGAAGCTGGGGAGCTGCAGGGTTGACGAGGAGATTTGAAGTGTGTGGCAAGCAAGGTCATGGCGCGACCAGTCAGCGGGATGTTATTTCTTGCCGTGTGGCTGCGATGATGAATCCGCTTGGCGAGGAACTCGGCTTGGTGTAGAGATGTTTTTGGGTGGTGCGCGTGCTTGGTGATATGTGGTCCAGCTGGCGTCCGGATATCGGCACGGTGCTGGCGGCAACAGATGAGATAGATGCTGAGGGGTCAGCAGCTGGGACTGGGTTACACTGTGATTGGCAGGGTATGGTGTTGATGCGGAGGCATTGTATAAGTTCGCTTTCACCGCTGCCACCAGTTGTAAGAGCCCAAATGTTGGGTCCTACAAGAGTTGGTAGATGGCGAGCTTAGGGTTTAAGGTAGACAACCAAGATGTCTTGACTCCTTTACTGAATAAGATGTTGGAGTGCGGCAGCTCCTCGGAGCGAGGTGTTGCTCCTTGGCTCCCCGCAGGGAGTCTGCCTGATCTCCTGTACAATTGTCTAAAGATCGCATCAAGTCACGTGGTTAGCATGTGACCAACGGTGATGAACAAGCAAGCGTTACATCAGTACATAGCTCTTGTGGAAGAGACAGACAACACAGCATTGGAATGTCTGGTGTGCCAAGAAGAGAGGAATGGACAGAGTAAGCAATGGTCAGGCATATATGTATATGTATGTGTGAAGATACGTATGTGACACATGTAAGATTATATATATATGTATTATATAGTAATTAGATAAAGATATCGCTGGATTACAAGGAGTCATTAGGGAAAAGCGCATGTATTGCGAGCTGAGATTTAGAATCTTAGTCTCGGAAGCTGAAACACCTTAAATC